TTTTGAAAAAAGAAACTAAGTAATTCTTTGAAAAGATCAATAGTAGTAACTTAAGAAAAAAGGAGAAATGAATTCCTAGCATCAGGAATAGAAAGGGATTCACTATAAACCCAACAGTTACAGATAACACAAATAAATGAACATATAGGTTTGATGACCTATATGAAACAAGTCAATGCCTTAAAAGACACAATCTACCAAAATTCACACTCGAAGAAATAGCCAATACTCATACCCCTGTATCTATTAAAGAAACTGAATTAGTAATTGAAAACCTTCCAAAATAGAAAGCACCAGGCCTCGATGGGTTCACTGGTAATTCTACCAAACACTTAAAAATTTATACTAGTATCTCTAGAATATTTCAGAGTATAAAAACAAAGGGAATATCTTATCCATTATATGAGGCCACCATTACCCTAATGCCAACACCGAAGACATTACAAAACAAGGAATTTATAGACCAAAATTGCTCACAGACACAGATGCAATAATCCTCAACAAAAATAGTATCAAATTGAATCCAACAATAAAAAGAATTCTATACCAAATGGGTTTTAAATCAGGTAGTTCAGGATTCAAAAAATTAATACAACCTGTCACATTAACAAGCTTAAAAAAAACCCATATAATCATATCAATACAGGTAGAAACATTTGACAGAATTTAGTTTCTAGGAAACAGAAACTTCAACTTCATAAAAAAAAAATTACAAAATGCAGGTATAAGCTGCAGGCCAGTCACCCCCAGCCCAAACTCCAACCAATGTCAGGGGAAAAGGGTCATGATCCAAAATAACCAGAGAAGCTGAGAAAATTGTTTATTGGCAGTCGGAACCTTGAAACAACAGGTGATAGTTTATGAGAACATTTTTAGAAATGGGGTACACTTAAAGATTGCTTGTGATGAGAAACCCCCAAACAAAACGTTCCAGGGGCTTTGGTTTTGTGACATTCTTGTGAAAAGGTTTCTGTAAATAAATGTGTGCTGGACCACACAAGGTTGATGGGCATGTAGTGGAATCAGAACTCTTTTTACAAAGAATTCTGTAAAGTATGGTGCCAATGTAATAGTAAAGAAAATTTTTGTTAGTGGTATTAAAGATACAGAAGAATTTGAAACTACTTTGAAAAGTATGACAAGATTGAAACCATAGAAATTACAGAAGACAAAAAAGCAGAAGAAAGAATTTGCTTTTGTAACTTTGATTATCATGACGCAGTTGATAAAATTGTTGTTCAGAAATACCACACTATTAATGGGCACAATTATGAAATGAAAAGGCCCTTTGAAATATTCAATTTTAGTATCACACTTTATTTTTTTAATTTTTTTTAAGAAGTGGGGTACAGGCCAGAGTCACAGGGGGTGAGAAGATTCACCAGAGAGAGTGGGGAGAAGAACAGGCAGATGTACCGAAATATGCTGCTGAGGGGAGCAGTGGGCGAGACAGGAGAGGTCCTGGCCAGCCAGGGAGCGAACTTGTACCACAAAGGCCACGGACAGCTTCACAGCGCTGCACTCAACCCCCTACGCCACCAGGGAGGCCCCAGTGAAAAGGCCCTTTCTAAACAAGAAATGCAGTCTGCTGAAATACAAAGTCAGAGAGGGGGACTCTTACCAATTTATGAGTTATAGAGGAAACTTGAAAGGTAATGGAGATAATTTTGGCAATGATGAAAAGCTTTGCTGGAAGAGGAGGCTTTGAGGCTGGAGGTGGTAGGAACAGTAGTAGTTATGGAAGAGGTGTTTGTTGAGATAATGAATTTAGAGGTGATGCTGTCAACTATGGTGGTAGTCCTGGTCATAGTAGGTATAACCAAGTATGGTAGTTTTTTCCTATGATCCTTGATCACAGCATCAAAGAAAGACATGGTAGTGGTGGACCAGAATATGAAAACCAAGGTGGCAGATTAAGTGGCAGTGGTGAAAGATATGATGGTTACAATGGAGGAGGAAATTTTGGTGATGGTGGTAACTATGATGACTCTGAATATGATAGTGAATAGATGCTGCTAACTCTGATGATTTCTGAAATTACAGTGGACAACAACAATCAAATTATGGACCCGTGAAGAGGGGGCAGGTTTGACAGAAGAAATTCGGGCAGTTCCTATGGTGGTGGTTATGGATCTGGTGGTAGAAGTGGTGGTTTTGGCAGCAGGAAAGAACTAAGAACATTTGAAATAAACATACCATTTACATTAGCACCAAAAAGTTATAAATCTGCATGTAGAGCTGTATGATGAAAACTATAAAATCCTGAGAAACAAGGAAATACATAAATGGAGAGATGTTACAAGTCCCTATATAAGAAGATTCAATAGAGGCAAGCTATTAGTTATGCCCAACATCATCTATAGATTTGATCCCAATCAATATCCCAACAAGCTATTCTGGGGATATCAACAAAGTGATTCTAAACTTTATGTTGAGAGACAAACACCCAGAATAACCAATACAACAGTGAAGGAGAATAAAATTGGAGGACTGACACTATCTAATTACTATAAAGCTACAAATCAGGACAAAATTGTATTAGCAAAAATATCAATGTAAAATAAAATAAAGAACCCAGAAACAGACACATAATAGAATCAATAGGTCTTCTGACAAAGAAGCAAAAGCAATGTAATGACGAAAAGGAAGCCTTTCAACAAATTGTTGACACAACTGAACATCCACATGCTACAAAAATGAATCTAGATACACTTCACAAAAACCTAATTCAAAAGAGGAACTGGGCCTCCCTGGTGGCCTAATGGTTAAGTCTTAGCACTATCACCACTACAGCCTGAGTTTGATCCCCTGTCAGGGAGCCAACCCACCTTTGTATGGCACAGCAGACCTCCCCTGTCTTGCCCACTGCTCCCTTAGCAGTGCATTTCAGTAAATCCACCTGTTCTGCTCTGGTGAATCCCCTCACCCCCCTGCACCTCTGGCCTACACCCCAGTCCATCTATGCAAAAAAAAAAATTCTTAAAAAAAAAAAAAAAAAAGCAAACCCCTAACTCAAAACAGACTACAGACAAAATGCAAAATATTGTCCTAGAAGACAACACAGGAGAAAATCTAGATAATCTTGAATGTGGTAATGACTTTATAGATACAACACCAAAAGCACAATCCATGAGAGAATAAGCTAAAAATCATTAAATTTCAACTTTTCTATTCTGCAAAAGTCAGAAAAAGGACTGTCATCCAAACAGGCAAGTAACTCTTTAAAAAATCCACAAGAAAACCAACAGCTAAAAAAAGAAAACGAGTAAAAGATCTTAACAGACACATCACCAAGCAAGATATAGACAACAAACAAGCATATAAAAAGATCCTCCACATCAATTTGTTCAATTGATAATTAAAACAAGATACCACTGCACACCTTTTAGAATGGCCAGACTCCAACACTTACAAAGTGGGGAAGATGTGGTGCTACATACATCTTATCCATTGCTGGTGGAAATGTAAAATGGGGCACCTACTTTGGAACAGTTTGGCAAACTTTTCACTTCCTGAAAAACTAAACATAGACTTCCCAAATCCAAATCCCACATTACTTGATATTCACAGAGAAGCTAAAAACATATTTCCATGCAAAACGCACACAAATATTTATAGGCAAAATTGCAATGGGTAAACCATAGTACATATTCCAAACAGAATATTCAGTCCTAAAAAGAAATGCATTATCCATCAAACCATAAGGAGAACTGAAAATGACTGAGATGCACATCACTAAATGAAAGAAGTCAATCTGAAAAGGCCAATCAGATAGAAATCTAGGAAAATTAAACATAAGTCATCTGAAAAAAAGAAAAAGCAACTGAGATTTGCCAACAAGGACTAAAGCAAGTGTAGCCAGCACACAAATGGCAAAACAAGAGAGATAAACTAATGAAAGACTGGTAAGATATGTGTCTATGGACCCATCACTGCAGCCTAGAAAACAGACATCCAGAAAGCAGTCAGTTCACTAACCGCCAGTGTCTGCCAAACTGAGAGCAAGTAAATACTAATCTCTCCTCTTCACAGCAGCTGTCTTTGCCCCGAAAACCATTTCCCTTCCAAGCTGTCCAAAGTTCCCTACTTTGTCATTTAATTTAGGCCTAAATTTACAAACAATTCATACTCACTTGCTAGTCAATATTCCACTGAAATCCCCAGGTTCTAAAGTCAATATTTCTCGTTTTGGCAAAAAAAAATAAATAAAATAAAATACTCTTCAATGTAAACAAACATCCCATTAAATTCTGCCCTCACAACTCTAATGGAAAAGTTAACTTGCCTAGACCAGTGAATCTTTATCTTTTGGGAACCGTCCCAGCTAAGAATCTCAAGAGTTCTCAACTTGCTTTATAAAAATAAAAGTATCAATTTCAGGGCTACAAAAACCCTTATAAACTCTGCCACATTTGTATTAATTACTATGCCAGAAGTTTGAAGTTAACAATGTGTATACAGGTAACTCTTCCTCATCTCTGGTGAATAGGCTGTAACCAACTCCATCATTTCAGAAAGGAACTAAATTAGACCACTACCAAACTCCTGCTGAACCACCAAGTTGGCCGAGAACAAGGAGGTTATTTATAACCTCCTGGTCTCAATATCCACAGGGTTGTTGGGAATACAAAATATAAGATATGCCTATTACGTGGAAAAGATACGACTATGTTAGTCTTATAATCATCCTCCTCCCAGCATTTTCTATATTTAATTGCCTCAGGCCTGTATTCTCACAGGTCCTACTCCAGAACAAATGACGAGTGACTTGTCCTTTTAACATCATCATTTATTTAGTGTTTACTATGTGTACAATACTGCACTAAATTTTAGTATCGATCATCATATATAATCTTATAAACACTGTAACTCCGTCTTGATGGACTGACTTGCCTCACACAACACTGATGATAAGCGGCAGAGCTGTGCATCACTCCCAAGCAAGGTGACTAAAGATCCTGTGCACACCCACCACCTTTGATTTTGATAGTTTTGCTCACCTTCCAGATCCAATCACTAAAACTCTGGTGAATGCAGTATCTAGCACATCACTTATGTAAAAGGAGCGTGTTGTTAAAAAGGTTAAAATTAGCCACAACGCCCAATAAGAAATTTAAGAATTTCTAAGATTCCAGATTTGTTTGTTTCAAGTAAATAAGATAAGTTTCCAAGGAGTGCCCGGAGCAGGGAATAAAGTGAGAAGCAGAACCCTCACGATCGCAGTTAAAGAAGCTTCAAAACTCGGGGTCTTCCAGCGTCACCCGCGCTGTCAGGCAAGTGCAAACGCGAAGACTGCCCCAGCTCCGACCCGCGCGAAGCCCACGGTGGCCACCGGTCTCGGCGGCGAGAGCCCACCGCGGAGCTGCGTCAGTCCCCTCGGGCTCCACCACCCTCCCGGGCTGGCGGCGCCGCTTCCGCCACCGCGGTTAACTGTCCGGGAGAATGGAGCGATCCCGCCGGAAATGGCAGGCGCCCAAGCCCGGGAGAGGAGGCGGCGCGGCCCAGGAGCCCCGGGGACCGGACGGGGCCGAGGGGGAGGACTCCGGGGACAGGGCCCGGAGAAAGAGGAAGCGAAAGCCCAACGGCCCCCAGTTAGCCAGCCGGCCGCCCCCCCGCCCAGGTCCTCCCGGCCCCCGCCCCTCCGGCTCCGGCGCGCCACGCCGCCCCCGAACCGCGAGCTGGCCCGCCTCGCCCCGACGCGCAGCAGCGGCGGCCGCCGGGAGCCATGACGCCCGCGCCGCGCGGGGCCGCGAGGCCGCCGCCGGGCCAGTAACAAAAACCCCGCGCCTCCGGGACCAGCTTACCTCGCGAGGGGACGGGGCGGAGCCCTGCACCGAGGCGATGTAACGCTCCACATCGGCCTTGCTGCGCCTCATCGCGCCGCGGACTCGTCTCCAGGCCGCGGTAGGCGCCGCCGAGGCCCCAGAGAAGCCGTCTCCCGGAGCGAAGCGCCTGAAAGCCCGTGACGCAGCGCCGTCGCCGGCAAAGGAACGGCCCGCCCGCGTGCGTGCTACGTCAGCACTCTGCGCCACGCCGCGCCTTTGGCGCTCCCGCCTCGCACACGCAGTCGGCCCCGCCTCAGGCTCCGTGGTCCGGGGTGTGCCTGCTGCTTGTCGGCTGCCTCGGGTGGGCCGTGGGAGAGAAACGCTCAGCGCCCGCGGGGACCGAGGACTAGTGACCGCGTGGACGGGATGTCGCCCCTGAGCGCTTCTGTGAAGTGTGGTTCTTCTGTCCTTAGTTGTAATTACGCCATGCTGTGGAGGTCAAACTCGTAAATTGGCCATCGCGTAAATTGGAACCACTGTCGGGGAGGCCAGTGATTAAATATATTATGTCCGACGCGTGTGACTAAGAAGCGCACACGCTGAAACTCCTGCCTTAAAAAAAAAAAAAAAAGGTAAAATTGAAAGTGCGTAGTTACAAGGTCACAAATACTATTTTTAGACGATTATAATCACATAGACATTTATATGACTAGCCCGCCAGGTTATGTGTATTTCAATAGTAGAACAGGATATAACAAACTATTAACAGTAAACATGTCAAGCTGTTGAGTCATCCGAATTTTCCAAATCTTCAAAAATATTCCCCTTGGGAATTAGAATTTTTAAATCTTAGTTTAAAACGGAACTTTCTCAAATGTTTTCAGTGGTGAAGGCATTTTTAGGTTTAAAACAATCGTATACGTGTACGATAGTTTCTTATGTAGAAAAACAAATGAAATATCTTGACATTTTTAACAGGGAAATTTAAATGTGATTATGGATATTTTTATCCTTTTTAATTTTTCCATATTTTCTACAGCATGCCTTTTTTAAAAAAAAAGATTTATTTATTTATACAAGCACTGGGTACAGTCAGAAGCACAAGAGGGTGAGAGAATTCACCAGAGCCAGAGCGGGGAGCAAGGTACACTGCTGAGGGGAGCAGCGGGCGGCAGGAGAGGTCTGCATGCCATGTGGGACCCTCGCTCGGTGGCTGGGGATCGAACCGGCGCTGCAGAGGCCGCGGGCAGCCTCGCAACCCAGCGCAAGACCGCTGCGCCACCGGGGAGGCCCTACAGCATGCCTTTTTAACCAAGGAACAACAGCATTTTGTTTTGTTTCAATCATATTGGAGATACATAAGATGATGATTGTGAAGTTACTACTGTGACTGACATGCATTAACGAATAATGTGTAAATAATATAGTTCTGGATGTGTAGGGAAAGCAAGGCATAGAGCAGGTTTTCTATGATGGGGCAGATGAGTAAAGGAGAGTCCTGGAGCCCTCAGTGGCTTTTTTAGGTTTTTCAGTTGAGCTTTTTACATCATTTGTAGTGCAGCAACCAGGTACACGCCAGGCAGGGGAAAGGGGGACAGGAGACTGGGAGGCCTCCCAGCCCCCCAGGAATCTTCACTCTTTCTGGGCTACCTGGCGTTGCTGGTGGTCTCTCTGCTACCTCTGCTACCTCTGCTACCTTGTGCTGCGGCTGCTTCTGCTTCGACCACTGCTGGCACCCCTGTGATGCCGCCCTTATATACCCAGTCTCTAAGCCCAGGTGCACCCACTTACGCATGCCCACGCCCTACTCCAGGGTCCGCCATCAGGCACATATGTAAGCCTGCAGGCGTGGATCTTAGACTCTAATGGTGGGAGGGCCGAAAATCCTGACAATTTCCAGTTAACTTACAGGGTGTAAGATCATATTTTAGGTAGTTGTTTTATTTCATGAGGTGCCACTTAGTAGGTAGTGCATTGTTAGGTAGATTAAATAGTAACACCAATATTGGTGGTGTACTTGGAAATCATAACTCACAGGTGATAGCTGAAGGCGTGAGTATGCCTTGAAAATAGTTGTTTCAGGTCCTTTTATTAGCACTTCATATATAGTAATCATTTAATTCTACAATTTTGCAAAGGTGCTATTATTTGTTACCTCAGTTTTACTCAGATAAAGAAACCAAGGGAGTGGGCAATTGTAATGGCAGCAAGTACAGGGCAAGTTCCCTATCAATTTGGGCAGACGGGTAAAGGAGAGTCCTGGAGCCCTCAGTGGCTTTTTCAGGCCACTAATGACTTCTACACCAATTGTTGTAGAGCAAAGCCCACAGGGTAGCAAGGCAGGGAGGCCAGGGAGCCAGGAGGTTGGAAGCCCTCCCAACCTTCTAGCCCCTGGCGAATCTTTACTCTTTCTTTGGGCTGTCTCTGGCATTATCTCCTCTCTTCTCTGGTAGTCACTCGTACTCTCATAGCAATTCTCCGCCACTGTTCCTGTGTGACACTACTCTTATAGCCTCAGTCTCCAGGCTCAGGCATGACCAGTTATGCGTGCCCACACCATACTCCAGGTGTCCACCATCAGGCATGTGTGCCCCAGGTTCATGGTCCCAAGTCCCTTCTGCATTCAAGGCCACAGGTGATAGCCACAGAGGCCAGCATCATAAAAGCCTGACTGTTTCACTTACTTTACAGCAGTAAAACCACTTACCCAAGCATGCTTACCTAATAAAATTACTACCATTAATCTGTTTAAGTTGAAAAGCAGTGACAAAAGAGAAAACCTTATCAGAAATTCAAAACACGTAAGTACATTTATTAATCTTAAAAACATCAGAGTTCACATCACCAAATAGAAGGATGAGTCTATCCTTCTGTTTTTTTAAAAATAGTCATTCTTTTTTTATAGAGGCTTTTTTTTTTTATTTGTTTGCTTTGTTTTATACAAGCACTGGGTACAGTCAGAAGCGCGGGGTGGGGGGGTGGGGTGAGAGAATTCACCAGAGCCAGAGCGGGGAGCAGAGCAGGTAGAAGGACCGAAGTACACTGCTGAGGGGAGCAGCGGGCGTCAGGAGAGGTCTGCGCGCCATGTGGGACCCTCCTCTGGTGGCCGGGGAGCAGCTGGGGATCGAACTGGCGCTGCAGAGGCCGCGGGCAGCTTCGCAACCCAGCGCTCTACTGCTGCGCCACCAGGGAGGCCCTAATAGTCATTCTTTTTTTAAAAAAGATTTATTTATTTATACAAGAGCTGGGGTACAGGCCAGAGGTGCTGGAGGGTGAGAAAATTCACCAGAGACAGAGAGGGGAGCAGAACAGGCAGACAGACCTAAGACATTGCAGCTGGTGAGGTAAGAGAGGTCTGCGGAGGCATGTGAGAATCTCCCTGTCTGGCTGGGGAGCGAACCCACACTGCAGAGGCTGCAGACAGCCTCACAGAGCGGTGCTCAACACCCTGCGCCACCAGGGAGGCCCTAAAAATAGTCATTCTTCTCCGTGATGATGTCCATACTACCCCATATCTTTCCCAAAATAGACCAGTCCCATCTGAACCTATTCTGACAGTAACTGCCATTCCCCTGAATCACACACCTAATTATAATGTTCTCTACAAAGAACTACAAAGCAATGAGATTACTCCACTCTAATGGCATCATCACTCATGTTAATTCTGTGAAAATTCAATAAATTATGAGTTTAATTCATAGAAACATCTTGTTTGTGACATTTTTCATCTACATTTTACATGATTAATGATTTCTCGAATTCTGAATTAATTGAACTAACAGACATACAATATGGGTAATTATCAAAGTCCTCAAGAGTTTTCTCATCTCTTTAAGTACCTCTCATTGTTGCTGCTTATCAATCTTGTCAAATTTTTTCTCTTCATCTATAGATATGATCATGATTTGCTTTTTTTTTTTTTTAAAGATTTATGTATTTATACATGCAAGAGCTGGGACACAGGCCAGAGATGCCAGGGGGTGAGAGGATCCACCAGAGACAGAGTGGGGAACAGAACAGGCAGACTGACTGAAACACACTGGTGAGGGGAGCAGCGGGCAAGACAGGAGAGGCCCACCTCGCCATGTGGGTTTCTCCCTGGCTGGGCGGGGATCGGACTCATGCTGCAGAGACCGTGGACCACTTCATAGTGCAGTGCTCAACTCCTTGTCCCACCAGGGAAGCCCATGATTTGCTTTTTTTTAAGATTTATTTTATCTATTTATGCATACAAGAGCTGAGGTGTAGACCAGAGGTGTGGGGAGGTGAGAGGATTCACTAGAGACAGAGTGGGGAGCAGAACAGGAGGAACTACTGCTCCCCACTGAGGGGAGAAGCGGAAAAGACAGGAGAGGTCTGCTGCAGCGTGTGGGTCAGCAACCTGGCCAGGGATCCAATTCGGGCTGCAGTGACTGCCAATATCTTCACAGTGCTGAGACATAACACCTTGCACCACCAGGGAGGCCCCTGATTTGCTTTTTAAGAGAACCTCACCAACAAAGATAAGTTGTGCAAGTAAATGGCAACCCAAGAACAGCTGTATTTATATCTGACAAAATA